TATTCCTAGCAAATGCTAAGTGCATGATATGTTATCTACAGGGGACATTATGCAAACACCGTTTTCCGATTACGTGGTCTTAATTTATCTTCCAAATACTAACCTACGTAGAAATTTGCTAATTGTGTACTGGATATACATATCGGTTGGACGTGTCTTGATGTGACAGAATCATTACTATAGTGTTTAACATAGAGAAAGCAAGATTTGCTGTCTGTTTATTTCTTCCATTATTGATAGTCCCAATAAATACGTCTGTGTTTGAGTTTGTTAATTACTAGCTGACAATCATGTACTCATTGCTTTTTGGGCATCCCAACAAAACTTCAGTATGATATTCCTTCAGTGTAACCGACCAAACCTCGTCTTGTGTTGTTGCAGTGCCATTCTATTTCAGTTACTTATGATATAGAAATTCCCGACGTTCTTGTGTTCTATAAGAATTGTTCAGTCTGGTAATTATTGGGACTAATTATGACAGAATTCAATCAGTAAATGACAGGATGAACTGGCACGTAATTGAGTGGTCGGTGTAGTTTGTGTAACAAATCGTCTTCGCAAGGTTTGTGCATTGAAGAATCGATAGAGCACCATTTACGTACTTACTTACTTGCTTACGCCTGTTACTCCCAATCGAGCATAGGCCGCAGACCAGCATTCTCCAACCCACTCTGTCCTGAGCCTTCTTTTCTAGTTCCATCCAATTCTTGTTCATTTTTCTCATGTCTATCTCCATTTCTCGGCGTAATGTGTTCTTTGATCTTCCTCTCCTCCTTTGGCCTTAAGGATTCCATGTATGGGCTTGCTTTGTGACGCAGTTGGGTGCTTTCCTCAATGTGTGTCCTATCCACTTCCAGCGTTTCTTCCTCATTTCTTCCTTCGCTGGGATCTAGTTTCTTCTCTCTTACAGTAGGTTGTTGCGGATTGTGTCTGGTCAACGGATTCGAAGTATTTTGCGTAGACAACTGTTAATAAACACTTGTATCTTCAAGGTGGTGGATTTCGTAGTTCTCCAGGTTCATGCCCCATAAAGTAGAACTGTCTTGACATTTATATTGAAAATCCTGACCTTGGTGTTGGTTGACAGTTGCTTTGAGTTCCAGATGTTCTTCAGTTGTAAATATGCTGCTCTTGCTTTGCCGATCCGCGCCTTCACATCTGTATCCTATCCACCATGTTCATCAATGATGCTGTCCATCTACGTAAAGGATCTTAAATCTTCCAAATCGTCTCCATCAAGTGTGATTCGATTATTGCATTCTGTGTTGTATCGGAGAATCTAGCTTTGCTTTTTGTTTATGTTGAGACCTACTGCTGCTGAGGCTGCTGCTACACTGGTCATCTTTTCCTACATGTGTTGTTGCGTGTGCGATAGGAGAGCCAGATCATCTGAGACATCTTGATCGTCTAGCTGCATCCTAACTGTCCACTGTATCCCATGCTTGTCCTCAGATGTTGACGTGTTCATGATCCAGTCGATCACCAGGAGAAAGAGAAAGGGTGAGAGTAAGCAACCTTGCCTGACACAGGTCTTTACCTCGAACGAGTCTGTCAATTGTCCTCTATGCACGATTTCGCAGTTTAATCCATCATGATAGAGCACCAAGTAGTTTTAAAATGCATCACTTTTGATATTAGATTATACAACCAAGTTATACCACCACCAATATGTCCGAAACAATAAATCTCTATATGGTTGGCAGTATTGAAGTTCTAATTGCATAGCTGACACGACTTCCGAAGAACGTTTAATCGATTGCAGATCCATACTAGTTAATCAATATCACTATTCTACTATTTTGGTCCCGTTACAATCATATACATAGATATATATCATGGAAAATTATTTATATGGCATGAATATGTACCGATCAATGTTATGTTGAATGAATGAAGTTCCATTCAGAATACTTCTAATCAAGTAAAACTATAAACATTACATGGTCGTTAGTTCAGCTTCAAATGAAACTACTAACAGTAAAAGAAGTATGTTGAAGTAAATTTCGTAAGTTATATTTCTATGCATGACACAAAGTCATATGCTAAAGTTTCAATCTCACATACACATCAATATGACAGTTCAACAAAATAAATAAATTGTATACGGTGATGTGTATGTTGTGATGTGATTAAACTGTGAAGGATTTAAAATAAAATAGTTTGGTGAAAACTGGATAAAGTAAACGATAGTTTGACATTTTGGTCGATATATATATGTATATATATGCAGTTGGTTAAACAACAACATGGGTAAACAAAATTCAATTACGAATAAATACTCGTTACGTAACTGCAAATATCATAATTTTGTTGATTCAATGTCAATATTTAGGTGTGCGCCAAACTAAATAACACTTTTCTTTCAATCGAAATTGTAGAGATTGTTCAGGTAAATGTGAATACGATATCCAATATGAACCATCGATTATAACAACATGCCATGAAGGGTCGAATGTTTTATCAAGCCATTGTTTTATCATTTGTGTCATATCTTGACCTGATAAATTTTTATCTAACAGTGATCGAACAAATTCAAATATTTGGAATTGATCTTCTGGTGACATATTTTGGGAGATTATTTGTAAATCTTTCGGCAGTGGTCGGTTATTGACAACACTCTTCCGAAGAGTACGTCTGAAAAAAATGATAAAATGATGAATTACAATTTATACTTGTTTGACAGACAGTATTTTGTTGTTTGAGAGAACGAATCCTGAACCAACTCTACTCGTATATGAAGCTCCACTTTCCAAGGTCGAATATGATATGGGTTTAAAAGTTATTGGGCAGCAGGTTCCCATTTGATACTTAGCTCAGTAATATAATCGTAGTTCACTTTAGATTATCCCTCGCATGAAAATCCTGTCGATAAATCCATATGGTAAATCGAAGCTTTGTTTTCATGTTTAGGTGACTTCTAATACAACTCAATATTAGTCGGGAAAGCAGCTGAATAAACAAGAGGGATAAGTTGACACAATGCTAGGAGCGAAGACGTTTTCACGATGAAAAAGACACATCGTGGTTTATACTTTAATATTATTTTCTCTATAACACCGATTTCTCAGATTTTATTGAGGTGGCTCACAGTTTCCCGGCTTTAAGTTTAGGCTGCTTTCACTTCTAATGAGTCAAGTGGTGGTGATTAGCTCTAGTTAATTTTGTAATTTGTTGAACATGTTTATGGACTTGCATTTTATGTCATGTTACATGTATTGTTCACAAATTTCATCTGGACTTAATAAAAAGAAAAGAGAAATATTCTCATCACTAAATGTACTACACACAGAATCAAACATTTCAAATAACTAGTTTAATATACTTTGAACTGTATCCCTTCAAGTAAGTTCTTGTCAAAACTAGACGTAAGGAAATCCAAAATGACTAGACTCACGCTTGTTCCGGTTTTACACCGAGGACGTCACAAAATTTTTGAAATGTTATAATACCAGTATTTGTTGGATCAAATAATGCTTGCCATCTCTGTTTGATTAAAATTTACAAAGGGGAGAAAAGCACAAATAATTACATAAGATAATTAAACCATTACATTTTGCACATGCATGAATTTTCGTTTGAAACGTAAGAGTACTCTACATGCGATAATGTGTTAAGGGTTTATTTTGTCCAAAGTTGACACAATTAGGTTCAAAACACCTGAGAACTTAACATATTATGTATTTTGATTAGAAAGTTTTAAAAATAAAACATCCCTTGTAAAAGGATTGAATTTTTTTTGTGCTAAAGTTTTTCCTATTTACACTGTCCTATGAACAATTTAACTGTTATTTTTCTTTGTAGGAATTTGTTACTATGTAAAGATTGCATCAAATCTATTCATTTATGCAATGATAATGGATACCTTCCTGAATTTTATTTATTGTAATACATATTATGATTATTATTATTATAATTGAAATTGCTCCAAATGTTTAGTAACAGAAATGTTCTATAACAGATTTACATAAAAATGAATATGACATCACAGTAACTATTTAATTTATTATCTCTAAACCATTTCAATCATTTGTTAATACCAGTTTTTGAGGTTAATTATGTTATTCCTCAATCTTTAAGTAAATAAATAAGACAGTATTAATTTCAAGACAGTTTTGCCTTTTGGCGAACAACTGTATTTTCTTCATGAGTGTCTTCGCCAACAGTTTTGCCTTTTGTTATATACATAAAAAACAATATACCTGAAGATGTATATTTTAGCCATATATTGGATAGCCATAATGCAACAAGTAGGTTTATTATAGGGATTACTGTCAGTGTTAAGAGAATGCTTATGATATAATTATTATTCATTATTTTGTAAGAGGATAAATCTTCCATAATGAAATTTAAGGTAAATATTTAATTTCAAAACAAGATCAACATTTACATATTATGATAAATCATCTAAAACTGAATAAACCATATTGAATAAGCTAACCACTTTAATTGAGTACAACAGTACTTCTTCAAACACTTTTACCTAGCAAATCTCTAGTGATTCTTTGATAACGTTATCAAAGTCTTTTCTACTTGTCTTCCTCGTTTAGGGACACCCTTGTTTATGACAGTGCTATATACTTTCAATTATTCCGCTACTTATACATGAAATCTTATTCTGAATGAGGATATAATTCTGATGTTCTGAACTTATAAAACTTAAGAAACTTCATCAACATCAGTATATATATAATTGCAAACAACAATAACAATTTACATTGTGTTGCAAGACTTGTTTTTCAATATTCCATGTTGTCGAAAAAGGTAGCAAGACCTATACAACTGAGCTACCTTGCTCACTGAATTTAATACTACTAGAATATTTGCATTTTACGCTTAACTAAATTCTATTCTTGGTAAAAATGTCCAAGTTGTGGTTTAGAAATATCCAATCATATATTATATACGTAAGTAATGATAGTTTGAGAATATCTTTATAACCTTATCACTTCATGAATCTATTCTGCAAAGTTATATAATACTATTGACTGTGAAATGTTCCACTATTCTACAGATATAGCTTGAACTAGTTTCTTGACAATTGAAAAAGTAAGTATTTTCAAAACATTAATTATAAATAAAACAATTTTTTTAGAAAACAAATTATCTACCGTTATCATCCCTTCATCTAAATGATTGTGCTTTACATAACGTCTCAATTCATCTCTTGTAATGGTCTCATTTTGTTGCTCATCTATCGCAAAAAATATATTAACAAATGGTTCCATTGAAGTTCGAAATGTGCATCAATTGTATATAATAGCTATATATATATATATATATATATATATATATATATATATATATATATATATATATATATATATCAAAACTAACGCTTTCACTGATTCGCAACTTACATTCTCTCGATTATCGATTAACTTGAAACATATTCAACATGTAAGTAGCATTTACATATGAATGTAATATTTAATAGAAAATTAAAAGTAACCAATTGTGAAACATACATGTGCACATTACCGAATACTTTCGTTTAATCATTGTACCTAATCATTAATCACAAGAATGAGTTGATAAGAATGAGTATTCAAAAGGGTGATTTATTTTGATGTGTATATGTGTGTAAATCGGGAAAAATTTTGTAAATGACTTTCGAAGGATTTTATTATGAAATAAATTAGTTTGACTGTTGGGTTTGTTTTTATCTTTCAAGAAGAAAATCCATTCAGTATACGTTTATCATTATTATTAGCTTTATTCAATATTGTATTGCTGATACAAGATAGAATTATCAGCGCACAGTATTTCAACAAGTTTCTGTTTAGTATTTCTTGATCTACCAATTAGACGTTAGCAGTTCAAGAATTGACATTTGAATAATGTACATTCTTTATGATGTATATTGTCACTAAACACAATGTCTCTGATTGTGTTCTTTCCTAATTTGTACAGCGAAAGGTCGTGAAATTTTCACAAACGCACCTGAATAGGTTGGACAATTAATTGAAATTGTCATCCGTTGAAACATACAAAAGACAGATAACTTTATGATATTCAAATTATTCTGTTTACATTGCACAAAATTGTGTAACTTTTTAAACCTACTTGTCTCATCACAAAAACTGTAGCATTATATAAATTGCTTCTAATCCGCTTTTAATAATAAAAGTCAAATCTTTCACACTACAGAATGATATCACTTAAAGAGCCATTGTAAATCAGGGAGTAATGGACAACTTTTGAGTAATGTGTGCTTATCTACTAATTCACTAAACCTACAAACTTCCAGTCTACAAGTCAGTATGATCAAATCGCTAGTATTTCTGACATTATACGCCGGAAAAGCAAGTAAAGTACTCATTATTATCTATTATAAATTGTCATAATCTTCCGTGTGACTTATTAAAGTTTAAAACAACGATACGCTAATATCAGCTTAGAAAACCCGGATGAAGATTTTACATTACTTATCAAGTCCTCAATAATCCGTTCTGGAGTCATTTAAAGTTGATCCTAAGACTGGCTATAGTAACATTGTAGTGACAAAAAATCTTGTATGGGAGCTTTCAACAAACTTCCTATAAAATTAATTATATGCTTGGAAAACAAATATATGTATTTTTTTATTATTTGTCAAATAAAGCAAATTGTCTGCCATATCTGTTCGGATGAAATAAATAAGCAAGATTACATTTCTACTCAAAGTGTCAATTAATCAGCATTACTTATGTTTTAATTTGGTATGATAATTGGAGAGTGAACATAATCTTCATCTGCCTTCTTCCTTGGGTTGTTCAAATCACATTTCTCCTTTAGTTATGACAGACGATGTTCGAAAGCTGATACTGATATACTATGTGCTCAACTCACTACTTCAGTGAGAACACAGTAGTGAGCGAGAAGAAATATTGGGCTATCAAATAAATGCACAAATACTCATTTATATCTGTACAACTCTACCCCTTTGGAAATTAATCCATTTTTAGACAATCAAATGCACTTGAACATCAGGTCACTTGTGATTGTTATCAAATGACCTCATTAGGCTAATTCTGATAGGCTCATCATATCACCTCTATTTACAAAGCGGGTTTTCATAGTTATAATAAGATTACGATATCGAAACTGTTCACCTATACTTTAGCAAGTGTTTGTAAAAATCATTGATATATCAAATGACACAATCCATGTAGATCTTAAACTTTTATTTAGTAACCTAAGATATTTAACCAGGAGTAATTGTCATCAAATGATGAAGGTTTTAAAAAATGAGAATCTGTTGAGATCCCTCGACAATTCAAAAAGATGTTCATAAGCTAGAAAATGTACATGATTTTCTGCTCATCCAGCTTACCCTACAAAAGCTGATAACAACTCATCCTGTTAGAATGTTTTACAGCGATTTCTAGGGAAATGACAGATTATCAGTGTTGATTACTTTCTCTGTCACTTAATTTGCTAAGTTTCCAGAAGTTTCTTGAGTTTAATGGTATCCCTAAACTCACAGACAAGTTTGGTTTTTGAAGATGAAAGAACCTTGACAGCCTGGCTGGAATCGATTCATGGTGTTAATTGACTTAAATGGATATTGTTCTTTGTTAATAATACATATTCTTTAGACTGTTTAGAAAAATGATCCTTAGAGTTTTAAAAACATATCTAGAGAAAATATCTGTCCGGATAATTTAAGCAATTAATTAGTAGTTCTTGGTTTATGGAGCGTTGTTGGTCATGTTCTTGCTCAACAAGATGATGCTGGCCTACGATGTCAATGAGACTCCTGCTAAGCGAATACTTTATTATATGATGCAAAATGGTATATTCCTAAATTTTAATTATATGAGATAACTTTTCATCAATAGAAGAAACATAAACGTTTTTTACCGGTTTAAAGTTATATAGTCCATTGAATTTTATTGAGATCGCAAACCGATCTAAGCTGTACGATAATTGAAAACCTAGAGGTACTGTACTAGTGTTTTGTCGTACATTATGGGACTCTTCGACAGAGCGTATTTGTAACCTCGCTCCTGGAAGTCAAACCTAGGTATTTCAGTTTCCTCAGGTCTCCAATGGTTCATGATCTTAACAAAACGTTTAATTATTTGTAACAAAAGCTTATGGAGATTGTTGAATTTTGTAGTTTACATATTTGGATAATCTTCATTAGAAAATCACTGACGACCAGGAAGAACTGGATATCTATTATTTTTAAATATGTAACGCTTCCTCAGTCGAGATTCATGCCCTTTCCATGTATTGAACCATGACCTCTCAGGTTTCGATAAGTTCACTTAACCAACAGTCTACTTATCTAGCATACAGTGGTAGATCATTGTTACTAACATTTTTTTTCAAATGATTGTAACATGAACATAAAAATAATAGATTGCAAACTTGATAATTATTGATTGTTCGCGAAGCGAGATTGCTAAAATTCCTTCAGTATACGTATTAAATTTTTTTTTCCTTTCATTTTTTCTTTACTCACATTTCATTAATGTTACGCTACTCTACTTACTTATATTAAGTAGTCACAGTAATTTTCAAGAAATTGCATGGAAGTGCGATTCTAAACTAATCGTAAAATTTTAAGCTATAAACTACTACTCAGTAGTGTTCAAACATAACATAAATATTCCTTGAGAAAACATGCACTTATCCATGGAAATTACTTGTTTCTAGATAAGTAGTTTCAGTGACAAACGTCCAGACGCACATATTTCTAAGAAGTATTTTCAACACGTTTCTTGGAATCGAAGTTTACAATATTCATGTATGACGACAGCAGTCATCTTTGATTTGTTTAATCCCATCTTACTTTATTTATACATGATGTGTTTCTACTACTGATAACCACGAAATGGCTGATACTCGGTTTTGTCAGTGTTTTCTGACAGATAACGGGTCTAAATTTGAAAAATGATTTTAAGAATCCCTTTAGGCGTTCAACTACTCACCAGTTGCTAATTTTTTCTCAGCAAGCAGAACAGTAGATAGATAATAGAGATAAAATATTTATCAAAGTCATAAAGGATACAAATAACCTACAAAGAAGGTCAACTGAAAACCACAGTGGGTTATCTACAAATTCTTCTTAGTACATTAGTCCACTGATATCAATTAGACTGACTGATATATTAGCAACATTCAGTGATGGATACCCTTCCTTTCTGTGTCTATTTCATTCATGATAAAAATAACTTTAAGAGCTATGTCCAATCTCACTTTCTAAGGACTAATCGTACATCTTCAAATAGACCTATGGAGTTCAAGTAAGCAGACGAAAGCTCTATTTTCTGTGACAGAGTCCGAAGAAATGAACTGATTTTGATCGACTTGAAATATAATGTAAACATGTGTATCGCACTACACATCATGACAAAGGTTCTCTTCGAAAGTGATTTGTATGAATTTTTAGTCTAACAAAACGTTACATAGTCAAGTGAATAGAATAGTTCACTGACGACATCAAGAATACAAACGCTTGCTTGGATTCTGTAAACTCGCGCAACACATAAAATGGTCTTGATGTCTGTCCTGTTTTCAGCGAGTGGATATACCAATTCACAGTTCCTCTGTACTGGATAACGCTTTGGAAACAGGGTTTTCGGGAAAATATAATTTATGTAAGTTGATATTAACTAAGAACAGAAAACTTTAGACCATCGCTTAACAATGGTAGTGTAGTGAACAGAACACAGGTGAAGACAATCGAATGTATTCAACACGAAATTACAGGACTTGTTAATAACATCTAACAATCATAAAAGTAAATGCTTAATTTGCAAAATGTCCATCAATTGTCTCAGAATGACTCAGACTTCATTGTTCTTGCATTTTCGTACAAATTGCATTTTGTTTCTATTCTTTACTGTTCGATCCTCTTGTCTCTCTGCTTCCAGACCTTCTGTTTATAACTACCATCATATACTACTTATGTCAATATAAGTAGCACACAACACAGTAGAAGCACTGAATGATCGATGTTGAAGTTAAGAGGACAGATCCGAGCATATTCGATTGGTCACTTAATGAGGCCTCTAACAGTCATAGACTAAACTAAACATGATATATGGTTAGTCCATCTAGCGAACATGCAATACAGGCTTTTGTAATAGAAAGTTAAACATAAGTCAAGAGATGTTGCATTAAGACACGATATTACTACACAAATCAGTGGTTGAAGGGTTCTGCCATAAAAGGAGTCACAAACTTCTTAGCTATGACCCAAAATTCCATTTCAGTCCTGAAAGGACGAAGTCATAAACAGGGACGAATGAAAATCCATTCCTTGAACATTTTTGTCTTCTCAGAAAGTTTCACTCCACGTCTTAATTTGTTTGTTTCAAACCGTTTCTTCTCAGATTTTTTTATCACTTTAATGACTATTAATTTGCTGCTTTCCTAGCTATTATGATGCAGGTTACTGTAAAATAGTTTCATATATAGTTTTAGTTGGTTCGAAGGTATGTTATCATTCACAATCAGAGGATGATTGCATATTAACCTAACGATCACGTAATTTCTAACCATTAAGAAAACACTTATCACATTTAATCAAATCCTTGACTGTCATTGGTAGACGGATTTTTTTAGTACGCTATTTTGTGGCTCTCCCAAGGTTGTTTCTATCATTGTATAAATGTTTGATTTGTGTGCTTAGCGATCTCGTATTTTCTGGGTGCTTGTAAAATACATTCTCTACGCCTCATCAAGACTTTTTGATCTAGTTAGCAGGGCTGGAGACAGCGGATTACAATAGCCTATCGTGTCACTGTATTTTGATCTTCGTTCCGCTTATCAAGTAAGGTGGACTCGTAATAGCATTCAAGTATATCAAACTTACACATATAAGTAAAGTTTCCATAAAAGTTAAGAACTACCAATTACCATGTCAAATAGATATTTTGACTATTATTGTACCGTTACGTTTATTACAAAAAAAAGTGATTGAATTTTTTAAAATTATTATTAAATCAGCTTGAATAAATTCCCAATATTTAGCTATTATTAAACGTTAATATCTATGTGGAGTTTGATTAAATCCAACCTAAGTAACCATGGAAAACTTAATCTGTATATGTAAATTTATTCTAAAGATTGATTTTATCTGTCAATGCTTTAAACTGTCAAGAGCCAAGTTGTGAACTAATCAAAGTTATGCAAAAAAAAACTGTTACTGTCTTTATGAAAGACGATGAATTTGTCAATATAAGAAGAACAAAAAACTGATACAAATAAAATCTCAATTTAAGGAAAAAAACAAGTACAAAGAAATTTTTCGTCAATTAATTCTTCATTATTAAAAATATAATCGAAAAGACTGTCTAACTCAATTTTTATTGATCAGGTGTATTCCATATTAAAAAGCATTTGTTTCGTAGTCGAAATTGAAATGATCGATTCTCTGAATGAGTATATGATGCACCATAATCTCCACGTATTACCACAACATGCCATATTGGACCATACACTTTATGTAGCCATAATTTCAAACTATGAGCAATTTCTTTATTATCAAGTTCATTAGGTGGAAATAATAAACGTCTAGCTTGATCACTTATTTGTATCTGATCGGCGATACTCATTTGTTGTGCAATAACATAGACATCAGATGGAAGTATATTGGTTGAACGTCTTTTAATTTCTTCCCTAACCTTTCGACTACATTCAAATAAACAGTGATGAAAAAATTCTGAATATACAAGTAGTCAATGTTCAACTATATCTTGAAAAACATGAATATATTCGTTGACTAAGTTAGATAACATTTTTATAGTTAACAGATTAGATTTTTTCATGTTAGAATGAGAATTAAATGAAAAATAATGACTTATAATAAAATATTGTTCAGTAGACCCTAACAAACGCTCTTTAAAGGGAAATAAATTAGTAGCTACCTAACTACTTTCAATTATTGATTATTATACTCAAATTTTATGAGGTTTGAATACATGATATTTTTTTTTAAAGTCAACCATCTATTCATCTTATGGATTATTTAACAGATAGTTAATTATTAGTAAAGGAGTTATGGAGATTATTAAGTTTTTGATTGAGATCATGAACCGATTGATGTGAGAAGCCGTGATCAGTGGAGCTAATCCATGTCGGGTAGAAACAGATATCGCGCAGTTTCATGAATGATTGATGTTAGACACTAACACCATTGGATGCCGGCTCATTGGTTCAATAGGTTAAGCATTCGCGCGTGATACTGAAAGCTTTGGGTTCGGATCACACGAGCGGGATCGTGAATGCGTACTATTGAGGAGTCCCATAAAAGGACCAAACGGCCGTCCAATCCTTCTAGGTTTCCAACGGTGGTCTAGCATCAATCGGTTCATGATCTCGATCAAAAAGATAGTTAACATAATGTTTAAAATGTTAATTATCATTTGTGCAATTTAGTGTTTTACCCAATTCCATTGTTTCATAAATGTCAGTTAATGAAAGATTGTACGTTTTCCAGAAATTATTATCACTCAATGATGAAAACATCCGCTTATTATGTATATTCATTTCCAAATGTTGACTATCGTCAAATTGTGCAATTTCAACTTTGGTATTTATAATCAATAAAACGCAATGTCAGATAATCAATAAATGACGATATTGTTTGTAGAATAAATCAATTTAGAAAACAAGTATAATTGGCTACTTACTCAGTGGTCATATGATATCGTTAAAAAATCGTTAACCATGAAGATTTTAATTTTTGTAACCCAGGTCAAATGTCAGTGATTGGTGACTTTTAGCCGATATCATCTCAAAATGAAATTTACTTTCAGGCAAGCCTCTTAATAATAAATCATTCACTTAATAGAAAGATATGATATTTGTAAATGTTATTTCCTATTTCCGATTCAGAACACTTACGCTTCTTCCATTTTTACTCCTAGTACATCGCAAAACTTTGCTAGTGTTATATAGCCAGTACGATTTGGATCAAATAATTTTCTCCAGCTCTATAGGTAATAAGAAAAATGAAATATATTGTCAGAGAAATTATCTATCTAGTATAAGTATTAGTACTATCAAGATATTATCATAGTATTATGCAAACGAATTCAATACAGACTTCCTAAAAAAGCAGTTAATGTAGTAATTACATGTATGTATTCTCATTAAAACTAAATTCTTAATAGAAAATTATACTTTCTTACTGATGACTTTGATGATATTGGATATCGCTAGGTTGAATATGATGGAAAGTGATCGTATCACAACGAAAAGGTTGTGTCAACAGCATGGACCAAGTGTTTTTGTTGTAAAGAGTGGATTGCAGTTTAGATGGACCAGCGTTTTATTGATCGATTACAGTAACACGTAAACACGTACGAAAGACCTAGTGTTCTGTTTGATCCTGCTTCCCTATCTGTCCCAGCCATTTGAGTCCAGAACACAAGCCACAGCCTCTGAGATATGAATCATTATATTTCAGACATACTCTATTTATATACCAAACAAACAAACCACATCGTACCATAAAATAGAAAACAACATTTACACAATATTTAACAAGTGAAACAAATATCGACCAATAGGGAGTGTACATTTCAAGTCCAAGGTCACCATTAGACTTAACATGATAACTATTGGTATATTCCTCTGCATCCCTAACAGTTTTATTCAATAAATAAGTGTTTACAACTCAACTTGTTTTCAAAATACTGGTTTATATATTGCGTTTTAAGCTGAACTAGAGTTATTATTCACATATTTAAACAGTAATTAAGAAACAAGCTTTGAAACTTCAGATCAGTTTTGTTAAAAAAGTAAAACTTTCTCATTACTAAACTACCTGTTCTCTACATCTTGAGAGTTTTGTATTTGTCATTTATAATTCACCAGCTGTGTTAAAAACTGTTTCATCAATTGGCTCTATACTCAGAAACTTAATCAAATGTTACACAATAAAGCTAAACAAAATAGATGAAAACTGTCATAGTTTGACATTTAATGATTGAACAAAATTATTTCAGTATGTATGCAAATCATCACATTGAAAATTCAATATTGATGCGGTTAGTTGACGTATTCTTGAAATATTTCTAATCATGCATTCCAAGATTAAAAACCCAAAGTTATCATTCAACATACCTATCATATAAATGTACGCATATATATATGCTCACTATTTTCTCAAATCATAGCGGATTTCTAATATCCAACAATTCAGTCCAACTTTAGTATGTAAGAGATAAATAGAAAATATTGCCCTATAAAAGTAAGAATATGCTAACTCATTCAAACAACACGATAGCTCTAATTTGATTTTATTTTTTCTAAAGTTAACATCAAATGGCTCCAAATACAATTTTTTTTTCTTTTAAAAAAACAAAAATCTCATAAAACCAAATTTTTTTTGTTGTCAGATTTTCACTTTTTATCAACAGATAGTGACATTTTCATTCAATTTAAAAAAAAGTAATAATGAAATGTAATTTATCCGAAATGATTAATAATCGGTATCTGTTAATTGATTCAACCATAGAAACAAAGTTGATAACCGATATATATATTTTTTAGTTTTCAGTTTTTATTTTACCGCCCCCCTAAAAAACTGTTAATTTTCATCAGAAACGAAATCTAAGTATTTAAATTCTAATTCTGAATAGAGTAAGAACAAAGATTCTAGCAGAATAGTATGAATAAATAAATAATATATTTATTTATAATAATCTACCCAATGCTCAATTTATTCGAAATTTCCCAGATTGAAATCATGATTTAATTGAAACTAGACCACCATGGAAAACCTGGAAGCACTGGACGGCCGTTTCGTCCTAGTATGGTACTCCTCAGCAGTGAGCATCCATAAACTCCTTCTGATAATAACCATCTGCTCACTAGTGACTGACTCCAAGAGATACTCCTGGAGTTCTAGTGGGAAGCCGTTACCAGTGGAGTTCAACAAGGTCTGTTGTGAGATATCAGCTCACTGAAGACAATGGTGTATGGTAGCGAAACTTCGTGGATTGGTTGAAAATAGACATTAACACCATTGGATGCCGGCTCAGTGGTCTAGTTGGTTAGGCACTTGGCGCGTGACTGATAGGTCCTGGATTCGAATGTCGCGAGATGCGGGATCGTGGGTGCTCACTTCTGAGGAGTCCCATACTAGGACGAAACGGCTGTCCAGTGCTTCCAGGTTTTCCATGGTGGCCTAGCTTCAACTGACTCATGATTTCAATCTGTGAAGTTTCTAAAATCTCCACAAACCCCTTCTGATATTATTCGAAATTATCAAATCAAACCTTGGTAATGATACCCACAGAATAGTATGAATTCATTTTATGTCGTTGGTTCTCGTAAGCTGCTTACAACCTGAGATATTTAAAAATCATAATTATATAATGGGTTTAAACTATTTACATGAGAGGGTCTAGTTGGAAGTTATGTTGAAGATATATTATTATAATACAGCAAGGGTATAAATAAATTTTATAGACTGAATATTGTAAGTATTTATGATGTAACGAACTTGTATATTCTAAAGTATATGCATTGGAATAACAGAAATTTGGTTAGATATGTTCATTTCTGAGCATATTATAAAGGAACACCCCAACTTCAAATCTTCAATAATACATTCATACAACATTTTATATTGTCACACTCTCCATGTTTTAAAACTGTTTAAAGTAATGAGCAGCTAAATTAGGATGAGTTTTTAAAGTGTTACCGAAGCAAGATTTTTATTTAAACATCAGGGTTTACACATCATTGTCAGCATAAAGTTCCAAGAATAGGATGTAGTTTGTATTGATACGTTTGTCAAGAAATATAATGAGAGATTCAGGCTTATATTATTCAACCCAGAGAATATCATGCTATCGAAATCTACCTACTTATTTGAACATGTTCTGTAAATAAGTCAACATGAGGAGTGAAAACAAAAACTTGAGAAACTATTTTCTAGTTAGTTGCTTGAATTTGAAAGTAATTAGCTTAATGCAAACGTATGTCGAACCTGATGAATTTTTAACCCCTTACAATTTGAAGATAATGTCAGTGATTCGTATATTTATTTGTGTTATAGTTAAACTACTCTAAAGTTTGAAAAAATAAGTAAATATTGATAAATCAGATCGTAATGCAGCTGTGTTTTCAATGTTTTAACTCCATGACATATAAACAGTTCATACCATGTTGAAACAGCAATAAATCTAGTAAGACAGCTACTTTTCGTGCTATCAAGTATGAATATAGATTTAGTAATGAAACTCGAGGTCGTCTAAGACAAAAGTGTACTCTTTTAATTCTAAGACAATATCAAATTACTAAAGAAAAGGAGAATTTTTTTTAGGACTGACCTTATGAAAATATCAGAGAAAATGAATGTCTAATCACACTGAACAAAGTTAATGCTAAAGTTTCTGGAGACGAGATTAGAAAATTATAGTTGGCATTTTTAATCTATAATGTTGAAGTTTGTGTAGATTTTTCGTATTACTAATTAACCACAACATGAATGTGCTACCAAACTAACTATGTAGATTCGCAGGCGGATAATGTCTTCAATATCAATTAATGCACGGAATCAAATATTCGACTGAATTTAAAAACGCTATTACAGTTATCCATCTGTAAGAAGATTAAATAATGACAAGTTTTGAATTTTGTGTAATATTTACAAATATACCTATTGAGAAATGCCTAAATGTTACATTGTAGTGTTTACAATCTGACGTGAACTTGGAAATGTATTGTCTGTTGTAACTCATTCAAATTATTAAAACGTTGAAATCATGCTTACATTCCACTCTGTTCATTTTAAAGAAAGTTTATACTGGTAAACAAAAGAATTATCAGTGTAGTTTTCAGCTTCCTCGATTGATGCGAACTTGTTTATGCATTTGATTTACCGAAGATTAATCAGAAAAAATATTTTTTTCCACAAAGATGTCTAGTTATAGTGTCCGGATAATGCCTTTATTAATACGGAATGAAATTGATTAAAAGAAGCGTTCAGAACAATGTCAACAGCATATCATATAGCATCAGGTTTATCAAGAAGATTAATTCTGTCGACCGTAATCTAGTACTTCACGACTGTTTGTTTTAAAGAAAACAGGATCAGAAGAAGTTTTGTGGAGATTGTAGTGATTTAAATAGTTGAGATTATGAGTCAGTTGAACATAGACCACCATGGAAAACCTGAAAGCACTAGGCGGCCGTTTCGTCCTATTGTGGGACTCCTCAGCAGTGCGCACCCACGGCTCCGCCTTACGGGATTCGAACCCAGGACTTAACAGTCTCGCGCTAGGCGCTTAGCGAACTAGGCCACTGAGCCTCATCCAACGGTGTTAATGCCTAACTAATGTCTAGCTAATGTTTAACAAGAGGACGAAACGGCCGTCCAGTGCTTCCAGGTTTCCCATGGTAGTCTAGCTTCAATTGACTCATGATCTCAACTGTTGAAAAAAGGATCATTACATAAAATCAGTAAATTCCGAAATTGAAGACAATCCTAGAGATATCTAGTTTAGAACTCAGCATATATATATAATAGGCGGTAAGGATCTGATAGACAGAATTTTATAACTTGCACGGATGGCATAGAGATTTTACTCAATTTAAACCTGACTTTACTGAGTATGTATGATTACCCTGAATACTGTATTTAAAAGAATATTAAGAAATTAAGGGAAAATGGAGGTTCATTCAAGGATTAAGTTAACTCTATCGTTATTCCCCCACTACATGAAATGAAGTACGAGCAATCCTAAATAAACATGAAATAAAGACATTTTTTCGAATGAAGAATATTCCTAGTTACTTATTACTAATAGTCAAAAATACAATGCCAAAAGAGAAATACAAGAATTCTGGTCGGGAAATTTAATTTAATGGCCTTAGTGTCATATATCTGGGCGAGATATTATAAATCTTAAATGAAAGAGTGACGAAATAAACTCTGTTTAAAGCACATTGCTATATATTTTGAATACTCTAAAAGTTTGGAAACACATTGACGATAGCACTAGGTATGGTAGCAACCGAACACAATCAACTTTGATAGAATCAGAATCCTTCATAACGTATTCTGATTCTTTTACTGAATATCTGACAGATGAATTACAATATAACTGAGTGAATCCAAAAAACTCAAACAAATAAATTCGAATGCAAGTAATTACAACACTAGAATTTATCTTTCATTCCTGTATCCCTCTTCAGCCTATGTAATTTAGACGACAGCTATATATATTTAAATAATTTTTTCGAATACCTTGTTTGGATATGTCTCTGACAATCTGTTCCAATACGTCTGCCCCCCCCTACCATTGACCTGTAAACTTCCTACACCAATCAAAAGTGTCATTTTGACCGGCCTATGAAATGCTTATTATCGGATTCATAATAGTAGAGAATTTGGTTGGTCAATATAGATTCTAGCCAACATTATTATCTCCCATGTTTATTTTGAATAGCGAAATAGATATGATGTTCAGAGAGATGTTTGAATGTCGTTTAGTTCATAGTTGCTTATCAACTCCATTTGTATTCTGAAAAGAGCAAGAACAAAGATTCTAGCAGAATAGCATGAATTAATTTTATTTCGTAGGTTCTCATCAGCTGCTTACAACCTGTGATATTTAAAAATCATAATTACATAATGGGTTTAAATTGCTTACTGAATATTGTAAATATAAACCTAATGTGAAAGAATATTCTACAACATTAATTGTGACAACAGTTCAAAAGTGGGTTAGAGACAATTGATTACATAATGAATAAACATTGATAGGAATATAGTGATTAGAGTTCAGTTGAAAGATTATTAATTTGAAAGATAGTTGAAAAAATAAATTAGAACCAATGATGTAATAAATGCAAAAGAAAGAAAAGAAGGGAAAAAAGTTTAAGGTGCAGTGAAGGAATATTTGTCACCAGGGCAAGGAAAGATTAACCACCGTCTCCTTTTGAATACATAGATCAGATTTTTGACGCCTGATGGCAATGGCTTCAGCAAACTTCAGAAGACTGGAGTTTGGCTGCCTACTAATCACTCTAAAGGATTGTAAGGTATCTACCTCATGTCCTGTATCAAGGAGATGTTTGGTGATTGCACTGTTCAGAGTCTTTCTTTCCCTTATTCTAAGATTTTTTGGAACATGTTAAAAAAATCTAAGATATGCTCTCCTTTCAGTTCGGCCGATGTAGCTGCTTTGGCAGGTACACGTAAATTTATAAATACAGTTGGCGGTAACATGAAAGGGTTGCTTGTCGATCTTTGATTGGGTTATTGAACATGTTGTTTTATAGAGATTTAAAAGTTTAGCAGCCGGATAAGTTCTGGCTAGCGCTGTATTCAGTCTCTTGTTGATAATTTGTGCGATGTCATCACCTTTAAAGTTAAGATTTATATATACTGGCTTTTTACTGACCATAGTTATTACCGTCTTCCTTTTATATTTGTCAATAAACTTTTGTGGATAAAAGTTTTCTTTTAGACATTTTTCTACGTTGATTAATTCTTCTTCCAGTTTGTCGGTGGTACATATCTTTTCTGCCCTGTAAAATAGTGTTTTAACCAACGCCTTTTTGTAACTAATTGGACAAAAACTATTGAAATTCAGGTAGAGGCCATTCCAATTACTTTTTCTATAAATTAAACGTTGGACTGTCCCGTCTCCCCTGCGTTTTATGGCAACATCAAGAAAATGGAACATGTCGTTGTGTTTGTGCTCCATAGTGAAATGTGTGTTAGTGTGAGTGTTATTGAAGAGTTTTAGCAAGCGAATTGAATGCTGTTTATTGTTACAGATAATAAATGTGTCGTCCACATATCTGGAGTATTCAGTTGTTTCACTAATTGCCTGCTTAAGTACCGTGTTTTCAAGATACCCCATAAAAATTTCTGCCATAATTGGACCTAGGGGGCTTCCCATTGCCACGCCATCGATTTGGCGATATGTGATGTTACTGAACTGGAACTGAACATTTGTTGTACACATCAGTAGTAGTTTTTTTTAATTTTGGGGCTGGTAAAGGTAGGTGATCATCATTCTGACAAATTATATCAATAGTTTCAAAAAGTGGTATATTGGTGAACAAGGATACTACATCAAAACAGACCATGAACTTGTCGGTAACATTCGTATGATTTAGTCTATCAGCAAACTGGAATGAATCTCTTAGCGTATATGTTGTTAATCTACGACGAACAGGTTGTAGTTTTACTGCTAACCAGCGTGCAACTTTATGATACGGTGAGTTGGTCATTGATAAGATGGGTCTAAGGGGAACGTCATGTTTGTGGACTTTTGGTAAACCATACATATGAGGTAGATGTGAACCACGTGGTCTTAGGTCGTTGTAAGTAGAATTATCAATCATTTTCTTTTTTAGGAGTTCTTTAAGCATGCCTGTGACTCGTTTTTCTGTTGAACCAGTCAAATCTTTTTTGGATTTATCTACCTTGAACCAAAGTTGATCGTCTAGGATTGACTTAATCTTAGCGACATAATTAGCTGCATTCATTAGGACGACACCTGAACCCCTATCCGGTTGTAAAATCATCACCTCATTATTTTGCTTGATGTTTCTTAGGGCTATTAGACGTTCTTTGAATAGAATATTCGACTTTGGTGTCGATGACACAAAGTATTGGTTGGCAATATCAACTAACTTTGATTTGAACCATCCTTTCTTTTCTTCATTCATTGGCTGCAAATCTTTTAACTGGTCAAACAGATTTCCGAATTGAGATTCTGTATCAATCCTGTCAATATTTGTTTTTGGTACATGAAATTTGAGTCTCAGTGATAAGGCTTCTGTTTCTATACTGTTAAGCTTCGTATTTGATAAGTTATAGATAAACTTCGAAGGGTTTTCCGGAAACCGTAAACATACTTACTTACTTACTTACGCCTGTTACTCCCAATGGAGCATAGGCCGCTGACCAGCATTCTCCAACCCACTCTGTCCTGAGCCTTCTTTTCTAGTTCCATCCAATTCTTGTTCATTTTTCTCATGTCTATCTCCAATTCTCGGCGTAATGTGTTCTTTGGTCTTCCTCTTTTCCTTTGACCTTCAGGATTCCATGTAAGGGCTTGTCTTGTGACGCAGCTGGGTGCTTTCCTCAATGTGTGTCCTATCCACTTCCAGCGCTTCTTCCTGATTTCTTCCTCCACTGAGATCTGGTTTGTTCTCTCCCACAGTACGTTGTTACTAATAGCGTCCGGCCAATGGATCTGAAGTATTTTGCGTAGACAACTGTTAATAAACACCTGTATTTTCTGGATGATGGCTTTTGTAGTTCTCTAGGTTTCTGCCCCATACAGTAGAACTGTCTTGACATTTGTATTGAAAATCCTGACCTTGGTGTTGGTTGACAGTTGCTTTGAGCTCCGGATGTTCTTCAGTTGTAAATATGCTGTTCTTGCTTTGCCGATCCGCGCCTTCACAACCGTAAACATAGTTGTTCTTTTATCAGAGTTTTCGATAGAGATTTATGGAAATCATTGCAAACCTTGATCTGAAGATTACGGATAAAGTTCCTGAATTTTATTCGACATACGATGTTTAGATCATTATCAGCTTTAACAAAAGCACCGGCTTCAGTCCTTAGTCGTGTAATGAGTAATTTTGTCGATTCAATATGAGATTTGGTAATGCGTTTTAGGTTTTTAAGCTATGGTGGAAGTTTACATGAACGTAAGGACTTTACAAACTGACGTGGGAAACAGCCCAACTGAAGTAGCTCAAATCAATCTCAAAAAACGTAATTATTTCTTATTTCACTCACTGAGATTTTCAGAAATATCATTTCTGTTTTCATAATATTATTTTTAGTGTAACTGTCGAAAGTTATCTGTGACACCACTGGCTAATTAATATGACTTTGTTCTTAGTTTCCCATCAATTTATGTTATTCCACAGACTTCAAGTCACTAAAAATGTTGGCTTTACTACGTCTTGATTTACGAGCGTCAGGCAATAAGCAAATACTAAATACTGATTACGATTAATCCATGACCAAGGAATCATGATGGTTTCTGTTGACAAATAATTGATGAATTGGTTCGATTCAGCATACTTAGTCGTCAACTGAATTACTTCCAAATCAACCTTCGATAATGTTTCATTCAGTTGCGGTTATTAACGAAACATCTGTATTATGAATAATAACTAAACAATGTATTCTTTGAAAAACATTATTCAATCTAACAATGAATAGTCTTTATTCAACTACAAGTTCCCATAATACAGCAGCATCTTTTTTGACAGAAAAAATGTCTCAACTTACTTCAATCATTTTCTCGTCTAGATTGTATGTTTCAACATAATTCTTTAAATCCTTCATACTGATTTTTTCATCATGATCAAGATCAACTGCAAAAAATGCATGTAAAAATGGATCCATCAAAATGAACAAAAATTCACTGTGAATTAGGTAAATGTGTTTTTAAAATGATTGAATCAATTTTTATATGTTGCTTATTCGTATTTATACTGCAATATTGTTGACTGATATATATCAGTTCATATCACATTATGATTGATTTTATAAATTGAAGATGTCGGAATGACAACACTTAATGTTGTTGGTTTTGTTCAACGCCTATTGGAATATGAAAACATGATTATTCTAGTATAGGCATGCACATGTATCATGAAATGATGCAAATATTTATACATACATCCATATATACACACGTATAGATAGTAATTAAAGAGTATGAAAAATTCTGACTTAATAAAGAAAACAAATTAACCGATTATGCCTAGAAAAATACTCTTTAAACGTATTCGGAACACACATGATTAGGACATTACTAAATAAAAATGAATTCAAAAGATAATGTTTAGCACAGTCTAGGCATAGGTTAGTGAATCGTTTAAAATCAGTCAGTCTTGAATAATTATTTTTTCCTAAATGATGCCGAATATTTATGGATCAAAATGATGACATGTGAGGTGCCGTATTCTTTGAGTTGAATCGTTTAACCGTGAATCTTTAATTGTCTTCCTAGAGAATATCATCAGTATATCATTTAAAGGTATATCAGATCATTGTTTCTGGTTATTATTTGTAACTAATGATCATCCTCGAGCTGGAATGAATTGATTTTTTGTTATGAATATTTTTGTTTTCAATTTATTAAGTTCAGATGTAATGACTCAGCTAAGTAGATAAATTTCATTTTGAGGTAACGGAATATAAGCAATCTATTAACTTGATGATGAAGCTCAGTTTTCAAATTAGCAATACTGCATGAACATCAGTGACCAGAAACATGAATTATATATATAAATGCATAAATTATATTCTGGAAATAATTACACAATGCGTGACAATCTACGTACATACTGTGGTTGACACAGAACGAGATGAATCAAGTAATAAATAAATCGTTTTAAAAATGTGGTTCGTGAGTTAGTTTGAATTGACACGATTCTCATGAATTATAATAATGTGAAGCGGCAGTTGAGAAACTGTAATTCTTAGTAGAAGAAACAGGACACTCTGTTGAAGTATGAATAATTAATCGGAGGGTGATTTCGTTAAGATAATAGAGTAGTTATGATCATTCATAACTTCAGAGAAACTGAACACACAGTGTGAACAATCGTTGCCGTGATAGGTCTGCAGTTATACAATTTGTAGGTTGTTTTAGAACCCATTGACTCGTTTAGATATTACAACAGATGTATGAACGGTGGATATTCTTTTCAACAGATTCTCTTTCAGTTCTACAAATATATACACAAAGTAATAATCCGAAAAGTGGTCAGGTTTAGGGCTAAGTGAATCGTTTAGTTACAGAATGTGAATTTAGAAATGTTAAACAAAATAGAATAAAATTGTTAACGTCTCGATAACGCAAATGCAAAGTTAACTTGAATCAGCTTATACGTAATTTTGTAAGATCCATGATCAGAATAAGGGTCAGATAGGGTGAGAGAAATAATAGTGAAATTACAGTTCGATCAAATGTTTATTGGAGGACTATGTTATGTAAAAATTATGAGTAAGACATAATAAGGTGGGGTGAATGAGAAGTAAATGAATCATGTATTAGGGAAATTCATCATGATGTTGAACCACTAATAATAACGATACTACTAACAATACAAAAATACCTAAATAAAGAAAACAGAGACATTTGCATATGACTAAGAAAGGCTACAATTACCTTAGTTAAATTAGATCATTCAATAGCATTGATTTATTAGTCCTGAGGTTGACCAGGTCAGGAAAAGCGGTTGAAGGTATTTCTTTTGTACACTTGGCTAATGCTTCCACCGTTTTAAGGACATTGAGTCTATTTAGATACTATTTAAATTAGTCAAACTGGCCAAGCACAGTTTAAGTGCATATACGTGTATCGACAAACCACTTATTCCACTATCTATTCAACATTATCTTCATAGTTTATTGTTGTACTACGAGAAGTATGGATTGTGTTATTATTATTATTATTAGCTTTATTCAATATTATAATTTTGGTACAATATAGAATTCTCAGCGCAAAGTATTTCAACAAGTTTCCGTTTCTTTCTTCTTGGTCGGTCCTGGCGATAAATATTGAGGAATCGCCAGTTAGATGTTAGCACTTCAGTGAATGAACAACTGAATAATGTACATTCTTTTCGTTGTGCATTGCCAGCAACCATATTGTCTCTTATTGAGTTTTCTGTAACTTTGACAACGAAAGGTTGTACACTTTTCAGAAACGCAGCAGATTAGGTTATGCGATTAATAAACATAATGATATATTAAAACAAACAACAATAGATAACTTGTTGAAATATCTAGATGGCAGGAACAGGTAGCCCAGATGCTCAAGCAGGCCGAATGGACTGCAGGTTAGATGCGCAGCGTTTTTTCGATCGATTCAGTGACATGGAAAACACGTAAGGACGACCTAGAGTCTCGATTGGCCCCGCTTCCCTGTCTAGCCCAGCCAGTAGAGTCCAGAACGCAAGTCACAGCCTCTGAAATATGAATCGTTATATTTCAAACATACTCTGTTTATATACCAACCAAACAGACCACAGATTAATTTAATACCACGTGGTTTGAAACAGTTCTTCTTCAACGTAATATTTCTTCTGAATATAAATCTATATGAACGTAGCTTACAAACATTTTTACATAAACGTCATTGTACCACTGTAATTATCTGCTAAGTTAAAGATTTTATAATTAGATTTACTGTCTTACTTGAAACCTAACAATACTACTTATTTAATCTAATCTTGGCAAAACAAAGAGTTTAAATCTTGAAACTAATAAACCATAGATTTGATTTGGATGATTGAGTACTTGTTACGAAAATATGTACACTACTGAAAATTATACAAATATTAAGTGAAGCTAAAAAAATGCACACAAATATACTGGTGTTGCATACGCATGATGAAGTTTATTACACTTTACGCTATGTTTTTTAACGAAATCATCAAAACAAATTAATCAACAGATTAACTAGGGAAAAACAATGACTCATCAAAAGATTGTAATTATTCAAGTGAAGCTATATAACTTGATTAAGTTGGAGTTTTGTTCTCTGAGCTGAATAGTTTGGTCGCGAGGCTTTCATTGTTTTTCTCAAGAACATAATCAGCACAAACTTCGGGTAGAAGTCACACAATTAGTCACTAAATTAAACCCATAAACAAAATTCTACATAAGTCATCCACGTGAGCTACAAATCTTCTCTTGCATCTCATATAACTTGAAGTAAACAATTATTCTAAATGATTTGTAAATTTTAGCTACTTACATTTTAAGTAATCATAAGAATTCAGGTAAATTTTATGAAAGTAGTTTAATTTCTTGATCTGTTTTTGTTAACCGTTTCGTCCTATTATGGGACTCCTCAGCAGTGCGCACCCACGACCCAGGATCTATCAGTTTCACACGCAAACCCTTAATCTGCATTTAGCATTTCATTAAATAGAATCCCAATATTATTTAGCTTGGCGAAGCTAAATCAATAAATACTAAGGTTTTAAGTATTCCTTATCAAACTGGAAAATTAAATTCAATATTAATATTGGATGGGAATTGGATACTTTATACAGCTATTTCTGTTGTATGCTGAGGTACTAATAACTTCACATATTAATATATATTAATAAATTTCAGATTCCAATGTTCCTTTTTCATTTACTTTATCAAAATTAATGCGTCTGTTTCTCCAAATCGATTGAAATTATCACTTCGCTTTTATATTACCAACCTGATACTTGATCTTTTGAGTGATAGTAATCCATTGTGCAATCCTGAGATTGAGACCTGTCCAATAACGTTTTTCGATATATCAAACAACAGAGCACTGATAATTCTACAAAGTAATTTAACTACAAATAGTGTTATTGAAACTCTCTGAACCTCAGAAGTAATTGTCAGGAAACTCAGAAGACTTAGATTTCTTTACGGTTGACGATCATCGAGACTGATTATTACCAATCTATGTGGAGCAAATGTTCCTCGAAACGTTGAAACTTAGATTACTGAAATCAAAAAATCTAACAGCTAGTTATTCCGATAGTAACTAATTTCTTATAAAACAATTTTGTCTGAACTAATTGGTTACTAGGCATTAACCAATGTCTTATATTATTAAGTCTTTAACAATGATTGTAACCTTTCATTTAACTTGTACTGTGTATACTAGCCTACATGATTCAATATTGAAATTGTTATTAGATAATGTAACAATAAATGCGAAATGCGTTTTCTTTCAGAGAAGTAAACAACATATAATTACTTGAAAAATACAAGTAAATTGTTTTACATTCTAGATGTATACTGTCAAGAAAATCGGAACATCCAAAGTTAATTGGCGAAGTTCATTAAAATTTTATAGAAAAAGATAAAGTAACAAAATAATATAGTTTTGTTTTGATTCGAAATCGAAATAAAATATACTGACATAGTATTCTTTCATTCATTTGTACGATAAATGATGAATGAATGCTGATTGATTTTAAAATGAAATGACCAATTTGGAATATGAGTATAAGTTGTCCAATATGAACCTCTGACAATAGTCACATGCCAATGACGACCATATGTTGTATCAAGCCATCTTTTAAGTTTTTCTGAAGCTTCTTTTTCTATAAATTTATCTTGTGGTTGAGTAAGTCTATAAGCTTCCTCTGATATTTTGATTTGATCTTGTAATGGTAGTTCTTGCATAATTACAAAGATTTCAGGTCGTAGACCTGTTGTAGGTATTCCGTACAATGGTTTGCTGATTACAGCTTGACTAAAAAATATATAGGTATCGAGATTATAACGTTAGATCTCAAAAAAACAAAATGATTGAAAGCTCCATATAAAGAAATGAAGTACTTCGATGTAATGATTATGGAATTAATTTTTATTTGAGTTTCTTTTATGAAATATAG